TTAGTGGTCTTGGAAACAGCCATCAACACACAAGTTTACCCTATTCAGTTCTTTCTAATTAAAACAATAGGTTTTTTTTGATATAGTTCTTATAGTTCTTTTTTATTATTAATATAGTTTTTATGAATGATCATAAAATTTTGATTTATATAACATAAAACAAATTAAAAAATCAGTTATTGATGAGATCATTCAAATGAATGTTATTTTCATCAATACCTTCTTTAGGTTTAATATTTTCAACAATCTCATAGATTTTTTGAAGAAAATTTCTTGTTTCAAACAATTTTTCATCATCAATATGACCATTCAAAACTTCATTCATCTTTTTAGAAATATACTCTTCTACGTCTTTATCAGTAATGTCTTGTTTAATAATCTTAATGTTTTCTTTCTTTTTAGGACCTTTTTTAATAAACTCTGCGACTTCTGTTGGAGTAATAATTTTATTATTAAGTTTACAATTCATTCCAAGAGAGATACAAGGAAGACATGAACATAAAGATAATAGATTTTCTTTTGAATCAGTTATTGGATTATTTTCTATTGAAATAGAATTTAAATTAAATAAACGAGAAAATGCTTCTTTTAAGTTGTCTATATCTTCAATAAGATTATTTTTAATAGAAAGATAACGTAATTGAAGAAATATTCCAAATGGACATAAGTTAGTAATTTGATTATTGTCAAGTGATAAATAAGAAATAGATCCAACAACAGGAATATTAATAGAATTTATTTTATTTGAATTTACTATTAATATATCTAATGGTCTTTCATTAATATTTTCTAAAGTCATAATTTCATTATTTGATATATCAAGTAAATTTAATCGTGGAAAACAGAATGGTGTAAAACTATTTTTTTTAAATGAAGTAATTCCACAATAATTAATATATAACCTTTCTAATGACTTCCATTCTTTTTTTTCGTCAAAAAGTATTGATTCTGCTACATTTTCCTGTAAATTAATTAATTTAACTTCTTTTAATGTTTCAGGTAAATTAGCTAAAACATATTTTCCATTTAATCCAACAATATCTAATCTAATTAATGGACTAACTGATGTAAATTCAATTTTAATTTCTTCTCCAACACTTCCAGTTTTCTCTCCATTTTCTGGAACTATTTGTAAATGAGTTAATCTTCTAAGTAATGCTCGTGTAGATTCACCACTTAATAATGTTACTATTGTATTTAAATTATTAATGATTTTAGGTGAAACTATTACCTTTTCTGGAACTGGTTGTCTTAATGGTTGTAATGCTGAGTCGAGTGTAGTATTTCCTGTTAATGGTAATTGCTCTTGTTTTGGTTTTGCTTCAAAGATTGATCGAAAAGAAATCATTAAATTTTTAAGTTTCTTTTTTTTGAAGATATTTCAAAATTCTTAAATGGTTTTGTTAGTATTTTCATTTGATTGTTTATTGATTTTATTCTATCTTTCATTATTAAATATTTATTTTTATTAATGAAAGAGAAATTGTAATTTCATATAAAGTATTGTCATACAAATAGTATTTAAAGGATTGAGAAAGTATTCAAATGTTAATATAAATGACTCAAAGAATTAAAAAAATAAAACAGAAAAAATAAATTTAAACTTAAAAAAAAGTAAGTACATCATTTATGTCACAAACTGAAGTTATTGACACTATTCATGATAATGAAAAAAATCGTAAACGAATAACTGAATATATAGAATCATTAATTGATTGTGCAGAGACATATACACAAACTGAAGAAGTCCCTGATCCTAATGTACTTCAACAATATAAAGAAACATTAAAGTCAATGCTAGAGTTAGAGAGTAAATTAAATGGACATCTTGCAGCATTAAGAAGATCACAAGATAATCCAGATGCAATTGAAGATGAACGTGCTTTTAAAGCAGAATATAAACAAGCTGTTATTAATAATACTGAAACTATTGGAGATGATCATCCTAAAATTAAAGAAATGAAAAGAAGGATTTGGTATGCTCGTCACAGTGAACCTTATTTCGAAGATGAGAATGAAGGAGTTATTATTTCAAATACACGCTCATTTATATGTCCCTTAACTAAAAAGCCATTTGTTAATCCAGTTAAGGCACAAGTGTGTGGACATGTATTTTCAAAACAAGCCATTTACAATTTAATTGGACGTAATAAAACTATTAAATGTCCAGTTGCAGGATGTGACCATTCTTTTGGTATGAATGATTTAATTGAAGATTATGAAACGCAACATGCCATGGATAGAGAGAAAAAGAATGCAATGTCTGAAGACAGTTCTAGTGAAGCAGAACTGGTATGATTGATTGTTTTATTTATCAAATTGTGTTAGTTCAATAACAATGTTCTTCAATTCGTAAAAAACAGGGTTTCTTTTACTACTAAAAAACAAAAAGAGAGAAACACGAATAAAGAAGTTTAACTTCTTCGAAAAGTATTTAGGTGTTAAGCTGATGATATTTAACAAACCCTAGATCAAATGCAAAATCAAATAAGTAATGGACGGAAGAAAGATTTGGTTCCTTACTTTAACTCAAGTGTGCAACCTTAGATGTAAGTACTGTGGAAGTGATGAAGTTTATGACACTGAGATTGAAGACCTTAATCCTTGGCCAATGGAAATTAATTATGACCTTAAATATCTTAAAAGAATTTCTGAAGATAGTAATCCAATTATTTGTTTCTATGGTGGTGAGCCAACTGTACGTCCACAAATAATTTATCAAGTTATGGATATGATGCCTCATGCTGAATTTGTTTTACAAACAAATGGAACTCTTCTTCATACATTAAAACCAGAATATGTTAATAAAATGGGAACTATTCTTATTAGTGTTGATGGTAATGCTGAGGTTACAAATAATAAAAGAGGAAAAGGTACTTATGAAAAAGCAATTGAAAATGTTAAGCTAATTAAGTTAAATGGTTATAAAGGTGATCTTATTGCTCGTATGACTATTTCAAAAGGTTCTGATATTCTTCGAGATGTTACTTATTTAATTAATACTAAATTATTTGATCATATCCATTGGCAATTAGATGTTTGTTGGGATGCACCTGCTTATGTTTCTTGGGATTTTAAGTTCTTAGAATGGAGAGATACTAATTATCTTCCAGGTCTTCATCGATTAATTGACAACTGGATTGATGAAATGAAAAATAATGGTAAGGTCCAAGGAATTGCTCCATTTACTGCAATGGTTTATTCCATTTTAACAGGAGAAAAGATGACAAGAGTTAGATGTGGCTCAGGATTTTCATCATTTAATGTTGCTACAAATGGTGACGTTACTGGATGTCCAATTGCTCCTGACCAAGACATTTATGGCAAGATTCAAAACGATGATTTTAATGAAAAGGATATGAAAGATAAAGCACATTTACTTTCCCCATGTAATAAAGAAGAGTGTAATGTGTTTGAGTTATGTGGTGGAAGATGTATGTATGCTAATGAATCAAAATGGTGGGGAGATGATGGATTTAAAGAAGTATGTGTAACAGTTAAAGAATATATTAAAATGCTTCAAGATAGAATTCCTGAAATTCAACAATTAATTGATTCAGGAAAACTTACTGTTGAAGATTTCCATTATCCATCTTTTAACAATTCTATTGAAGTTATTCCATAAATTTTTTTGTTTCTTTGAAGTTTATTTTTTTTTAACTAAAAAAAAATTTTTTCATTTTTACAATTCAATTAATTTGCAATGTCTATAGTTTTTAATCTACTTAAAATATCAGTAATATTAAGTCTTTTTCTTGTATCTTGTTCCCAACTTCTAACAATCAAGTTTTTAATTTGTTGATTTGTTACTCTTTCAATTTGGTTTGTTCTTTTTCCATTAGCTACTAAATCAGCTATGTCCCAAGCAAATTTGAATTGTGTTTTAGGAAATGGATCTTCCCATGTAAAACATTGTAACATTGTGACTGCAAAGGAGTATATGTCTGATGGCATTTTATAATGTTCTCGATTTAGTACTTCAGGTGCCATATATTTTGGTGAACCTATCCCTTTAGTAAATGTCATATTTGTCATCATCATATTAATATTTCTGGATGCTCCAAAGTCTGTTAATTTACAATTAACTTCAATGTCATTATCAAGTGATACAATAAGAATATTATCTGGTTTAATATCTCGATGTAATATTCCATTTGAATGAAGATACTCAATTCCTTTTGCAGCATCTATCATAAATTTTATTCTTAGATTCATTGGTATTTCATTCTCTGTTTTTTTAATTAACACATCTTGTAGTGATCCATATTCTGCACATTCTGTTACCATACATATTTTATTAGGAATAAATACTGCTCCATAAAAGTGAATGATATAATCACTTCTAAACTTATCTAACATCATCACTTCTTTCTCAAATTCTGTCATTTTATTTTCATTTTTATCAATCTGTTTCATTTTTTTAATTGCTACTTTATTT